TTAAAGAAGAGATCTTACATATGATTGAAAAATATAAGGAGTTGGGTACTATTAGGAAATTTGAAATTAAAAGAATCGATAATGAGTTAGAATAAAAATTTTCATTTCTGTTAATTAATAATAATAAAATCCTTCTTTTTGAAATTTATATCATGTCATGTTATTACAGCGCGTAAGCGCATGTGATTATCATATTAACTCTGAATAACATAGTAATCCTTCACTACGTATGGAATAATCAAGCTATTAAGAAATACACTACATATAAACTTCCAACAAGGTGCCATCAAAAAAACTTTTCTCTTTTCCAATGATGAATACATATGATTCATTACTTTCTTATTATATTTATCATATTTTACATCAACATCTGTAATTAATTATATTGTATGATCAAACTTGTTAAGAAAGAAAGAAGAAATAGAATCCAAACCAAACATTGAGAATGTAAAATTAAAATTAAATTTATTTAATCGATAAAATCGATGATAAAATAAAATACCTGCTTAAAACCGCTGAAAAGAATTAAAATGAAGGTAATAGTGATTTCTTAAAAAACAATTTTTTTTCTAATATTGGTTCTTTTAAGAGTCGAATTAAAATAAAGAAAAATATAACTTAACAATAAATGTGGCATTTTTATATAAATCAGATAAACATCGACTATGAAGACATGCCGCATATATAATATTTATTTATTAAAAATTTTATTATAAATTTGGGATCCGTTTAAAACACAGAGACGCTCCTGTTGGTCACATTATTCCGAAGAATATTCAAAATCTCGCTATTGATAGTTCTTATAAGTTTTAGGATTAAACCAGTTTAAGGCCATTATCATTTTTATCGAATTGCTCTTCGTAATACTATCATGACTTTTGGTTTTCATGATTTCGAGATCGAGTTTCTGTGTTAGACCAAACTTTTGAAGTTCAAATAAAAAATAAAAATAAACCGAACTTAAGTTTACTTATTTAAAAGTATAACTATTATAATGAAATGAATATTATTACGTTTTAAAAATAAAATCTTATTTACTAAGGTACCTGCATCCAAAACATATCATTAAAGGATTGACTTTAATCTAACATGATACTACGTCATCTGCCTCTATGTTCATTTATATGTAATCACATTTAAAATCGTGAAATCAATTATAAATATTTACTTGGATTGTAGAATCCTTCTTAGAATATCTTAGATTTCAATTCTCAAACGAAACAACATACCACCTATAATTATTAGCAATGATTTGTCAAGAAAATTATCAACACTGGATCGCCAGTGTTGTCATGAGAACATAGATGGGTCAGATGAGACATTTGGGACATAGTGTGGGATAGGTTGGACATATAGCTGGGATATATATTTGGGACGCAAAATTTCTGGGGCATTAAAAATGTACATCACTACGGATTGCCATCTTTATTCTCGTACAAGAGTGTACGTAAATGGAAGGAATTCCAAGTTGGTGGTAAACCAATAACTATAAATTTTTAGAAGCTAAGAGTGTATATTTTTTATTAGATTGTTAATTACAAAAAATTTGAATCATAAGCACGGCACGCCGTCACGAAATATTAATTAAATCTTAAATTTCATTTGTAACAAAAAAATAAATATTTTGGATTTGACCTTCTATAAATTATAATATAATTAAATTAGTTTATAACTCGAATTAAAGTTATGAATATTTGACATACCACAAGTATTATACACTGCTTACAAAAGAAAAATATCATCTGTAATCAACGTTCAAAATTGATTTAAATAAATACGTTGTTTTGAAATTTGCATCAACGCATCAATCTTATATATAACGTTATTTGCGCAAGAAAAATTACGATTTTCTAATCAAGACATTTTCAGTGATTTAAAATGTTAGACAAGAAAAAAAAGAAAGAAACGGAAGAAATAAAAACAATAATTATTAAATTATTACCTTATCAGAAACGTAAAAACCATATTAACGATGAAAACCATACTTATATAATGTTGAAACAAGTTATGACGTAACATCTCCAACATTTCTTGGTGCCCACTTTATTCGGTCAGTCGCTTCTTTCTTCTCTTTATCAATATATTTACAGGCCTACCTATGTCAAATACCTATAGATCTATAAAAAGCAAGGGCTCGTTGAGAATAAATTACAATAAACATAAACAAGTAAAAATTAAGAAGATGGCTGGACGCAAGGATATATTAATAAAAATTTCTTTTATAATAAAGGAAGATACATATCCTGATTCTTTCTTCCCGAATAAGTAGACCCTTATCAAATTAATATAGATAGACCCCATGAAGCTTAATAAGGACGTGCTTAAAAAACGCAACCACCTTCGGAACCCATGAGGGTAAAACCCCACCCCCATTAAAACGTGTTTAACAGGTACAAGGACCCCAAATCTCTGTAAATAGCTTCAAAAAAAAAAAATAAAAATAAAAAAAAAAGCAAGATGAGCCTTATCCCTTACTGCATATTTGTAAATTAAAATTATTATATAAGTAATATTTTTTCGAAATTCTTGGATGAGGTAGTTAAGAAATGAAATATAAATCAGAAAAGTTGAAAAATAATCAGAAAAGACGCGTCGCGTTAGTTTTATATATACTGTACAGTTGATCAAAGAATCGGTCAGAATTTGACCAATATGTTACACATGACGATCATTTAATTTATTGCTTAACAGTTAAGTATTACAGTACAGTATAATTAATTTTTTTTTTAAATTTACTAAATTCTTTATTTTCTAGACATTACAATTGTAAATATGCTCTCCGTTGACGCTAATCGAAAAAACTTCAGCAATTTTATCAAACCCGTCGATGATATTTCAGCAATGTAATTTTCATAGAAAATTAACCCATTTAACAATGGTCTTTCTGTCATACATACTCAATCAAAATGAAGCGCAAAAATTCAATTAACAAGAGTGGAAAAATCACTCTCTATAAGTGATATCTGAGGATTGGATTTGACCTAAAAAATATTCATTTTAGAAGCGATTAATCTTTTCTCGAGTTTCGATTCTAGAGAGAGAGAGAGAGAGAGGGCTGCAACGATCGGATGATCTTTTTAATTTATTTCGGGTTTTTTATTTTATTTTATTTTATTTTTTTGTTTTTAGTTCCTCACCTTTTTTATTAAATGGTTAGGACCTTTTTATTTATTTTTTTTAATTGGTTTTTTATTTTATTTTAATCATTCCGTTTTAATTTTTCATAATTATTATTTTTATTTTTGCCTATTAAATCTGTTCGATTATTTGATTATTTCGATTGTGTCCATCGATTGATTACTTTGTTCGTAACTCGATTTTAATAGCAAACCTCCCTATCAATATTAGCGCATTTTGTCTTTTGTGGATGAATTATGTAATCATTTCAATTTATGAAATTTTTTTTAGTCTATTTTACGTAACTTTCTTTTATAATTAATTATTTAATAAAAATTATGTAATTGAACAAATTATTATTTGAATTATTTATTATTTTTCAAGGAACAACATAGGAAGACGTCCCTCGGATTGGCTGGCGCAAATCAATTCAAAGGGGAAAAGCGTTTAGCTTCCTTTTGTCATTAACTATTCACTTGCAAAAATAATCTAAAATAATCTTATTTTAGAAGACTCTACTTAGACACAACATTTGTCGCATTCACTACATAAAGATCAAGATTCAAGGACCCTGCATTATTAAAATTTGCTCTAGGACCTCTAATACTTGGAAAAGGGTCACGAATACTGTGCTTGAAAGAGAAAAAGAATATGGAACGCTTCCTGATTATGTTAGGAAAAGTGAGACGATTTGTCTTAATTGTTATAATGGTATGCTAACCAATAGAACTACTACTTTTAAACAACATGCTTCGTTGAACCTGAGGTGAGTTCGTTTCATTCTGAGATAAAAGAGCTGTCTTTTTCTAAGTGTGTTGAAATAATTACTAAAATACTTTATGAGAGAGAATTCGTTAGGAAAGAGTCTTCAATATACATATTTGAGGAGTTTCGTGTATTAATGGAATTGGAAGATAAACGTTTAAAGAGTTTTTTGATGAGCTATATTTATCAACCAATTCATCATCAAGGAAAGATGAAACATGGATCAAAACGTCTAAGCAATTAGCATTTCTATGCTATTTTCTTTGTGGTATTCTAAACAAATATGTCTGTAATATGAAAAAAATCGTAGAATGTATTTTGATTCTACAGGTGTTCCTGATAGCATGATTGACACTTTGTTAGAATTAGGATTAACACAAGCATCGCGTACTATTACACGCCGAAAAGATAAGGTGTCTGATGCCCATTATCAGACTATAGATAACATACCTTCAGATAATTTAAGGATGGCGATGGTGAAATGTTGACGACTACCATAGTATTCATACAAGAGAATGCCAACAACAACAAAATACACCTTGCTACAATTTTACTAAATCCTATTATAAGTCAACCTGCTATTATTAATGTCAATATTCACAATCCGGAATTAGTTGATGCTATGCTAATTAAATATAATATAGCGGCTTTATTTATGGCTTCATTTTCTTATTCTTATAATTGATGATAGTTTTCACATTGTAGATAATGAAACAAGATTAAAGAATTAACTATTTATAGTTATGATATTCAGTTTAAAGAATAAAAAGCATCAAGGTTGATGAAAGATATGATATCAGTAGATCTTCAGAAGAATCAATTACATTCAGTTAATGATTATATAAAAGCATTAGACACTGTTATTTCTGTACCTGCAATGAAAAGATATATTGAGAGTAGGGACATTATACCAATCATAGCAGACTGGCCAAATCAAATATTTATAAGGACAGTAATTTTACAATACTTTACATTTTGTGAATCTTCTAACATTCCTATTATAAGTCCATTACATATCTCTCTTAATAGGTGAGAATTTGTATTTCTTTAATACTGACCATTATTTGCATATTTTTGGAGAATGTAAACCACTTACTTAGAAGCCCAAACCATAAAGAATTAACCTAATTCTGAAATTATCACAAAGCGTATAGCAAGAGATTTTTGCAATTATTGATATTAAGTTTGGCTTTTGTAAAAACCTAGAATATCTTGTACTCAAGGATCTTTTAGATAATACAATACCATTTATTTTAGATATTTATGCTGTATTGTTTCATGCTAAAGAGTTTGATACTTATATTGAATCTTGTTTTAAGTTTAAACTTTATTTTTTAGATTCAAAAGAAAAAAGTATAAAAAGTACCACTAATATTTTTATCTGACATATTTTATTGGATAACAATCAATCATCTAATATCATAAGTGATAAAAAGCAAAATTACTTTAATTCTCCTCAAATTTCCCAATAAAAATTTTTCATAGTCTTATGAAATATAGAGAAATATTTAGAATCAAAACAAATTATTAGAGAAGCAAACTATATTAATTATTTATGCTTAGATGTTGAAAACTCAAGAAAAATTTTGTAAAGATATCTACATAGGCAGTATACCCATATAATTTTAAGAATATAACATTCTTAATATATAAATATGCATATTTATTATTAAATATTATTCTAAAAGTTATACTCACATAAATCTCTTTTTTTATTACACCTTAAATTCATAATTAATAAAATATAAGCATAAAAAAATATTACTTTTTCATTTGAAGTATTGAAAATTAAAGGAGCAAAATACAGCTATCTTCTTATAAAATTTAACTATATATAATTACTTAGTTTAATAAATTTTTGTGATTTATCTAAATGCTTTACTAATACTTTTATAAATTTATATATAACTCAAGTTTTAACATATGGACACAGATATTATAATGAGTATTTTACTATAAGTAACTATAAATATTTGTATTATATTAAGTTTATTTAAGATAATATTGATAAATAGTTCAGTCACTCTTGAAATGCCTTCAAAAAAGTTAAAAAATTTCAGTTAAAGACTATAGCAATACCATTTCTGAAGATGATAAAGATAATATAAAAGAAATAGAAAATAATATATCTGTCAAATAGAATATAACTGTATAATATTTTTTGTATTATTAAATAATTATGCTAAATTTTCTTATTAATTATTTAATATTATTAGACATATAATTTAAATACATTATTAATTAATGAATACATTGTGACAATTCAAATAGGTATATATAAAGTTAATAAATAAATTAAGAATAATTTTAATCAAATTGCTAATTATTATAAATATTTGTTTTACATGACAAATAATTTAGAAAATTATCTTCAATTAATTTTAATTTTATATAATATCTAATTTTACAATTTAATTAAATAATAAAAATTTTTAAATAACATCCTTTTTTAGAATTTAATATGTAATTTTAGCTAATCAGAGGGATGTCTTTCTATGTATAAAAATATATAATAAAGATAGTATTTCAAAATGAAATGAAAATTTAGTTTTCTAAATTTAGTATAATTTTTATTAGAATTATTATACATTTAAATCATTTTTTTAGTAATTAAGAAAAAATATAAAATTAAAATTAAAATAAGAAAAAGTTTTACTGTATCAGATCTACTATTATAACTTAACAAAAAATCTAAAAAATTAACAAATATAATATATAAGTCTTATTACAGTAGCATATTCAAAAAGAAAATAAATTAATTATATATTAATTAAATCTTAACCTGAAAAAAAATTTTTTTTTTAAAAATTTTATCTTAGTAATATAAACTAAAAAAAAGAAAATTAGTTTAGCATTCAAAATAAATAAATAACAAATAAGTTAACCTAAACTAATTCTATAATTCAAAAAAAATTATAAAAATATTACAATCAAAAAATGAACAAAAAAAATTATCTTTTATTATTAAAATTTGCTATAAAATTATAAAAAATAAAGTAAATTAAATGAAAAAACTGATGTTAATTAAAATTGACTATTATTCTTCATTTTAAATGGTAATCATAAAGTTATTTCGTAATAGAATAATAATTTCAATTTTTGAAAAAACATATGAGTAATTTTACTTTATGTTTACAAATAAAACTTGAACAAAAGAATGTTTAAGGTCAAATAGTTATATTTTTTATTTGCTTTAATTTTTTTTATTCAGCAATTGGCATTTTATTTTTAAATATTTTTTATTTGATTCTCCTGATAAATTTCAAAAATACATTTGTCTTCTTCAATTTTAAATATATAATTACTGTAAACGGATCTACAAAGAGATCTGCAAAACTGATTTACAAAAGGATTTGCAGAATGGATCAACCAAATGA